GATGGTGCTTTTTGGTGGTTCCACAGTAGTTCTGATCTCTGCAGGGATTCCCAGTATGTGGACTCTTCTCTCGTCCCTTTACTGTCTCTGTCCAACCTATTACATGGCATAATAACCAAACAACTGCACTTTTGCCAATAACTTGCAAATTTACCTTTTCCTACACGATCTGTTTCATTTTATCACTGAGGCTCTTTTCTTCCAGTCTCCTTCCCTTCTTCCCCATGTAGTACATGTGTATATATTTTTATGTGTAAAAGTCATAAAGCAAACATAAGAAAAAGAGATGTCTTAGTGGTGTGGTGGGACAAGATACTGGGCTGCACAGAACACTTCCAATCCCTGAGAGGGCTGACTGTGGTAGTTACTCTCTCATCTCTATATTGGATTATTTATTTAACCTCTCCTTCATCAAACCCTAAATTGCTTTGTAGGGGGACACATTCAATTTAGGACATTAATGTTTAAAGAAGTATTTGCTGTTGTTTTCTAAATAACCTCAGATAGTTAATAAAGTGTCCCTCTAAGAAAATTAAATATGAAGGAGAAAAACAAAAAAAGGTTTGATATGGTGTTCAGTTTTGGTTGGGTTCATTTCCTAAGCATGCCAAAAGAGAAAGAAAAGGAGGAACTCTCTAGAGCAGGATAACCTATAGCATGATAGTTTTCAGTACACGTGGGGAAAATATAGATTCAGATGCCCAGAGGGAAGTGAGCCCAGCTCTCCTGCAGTCTGAGGGAGTGCTCTGGTTGTACCCTGCTGGCTGAAAGCAAGTCTGGCAGCAGCAGCAGCAGCAGCAGCAGCACCCACTCTACTGTTCTGGTGGAGGAGGTCTGCATAGCAGTGGAGGAGGATGGTAATCCCTGCATTGAGATAGGTGACCAAATTCCAGAGAGGCTTAAGCTAATTCTAATACCTTCTGCATTTCCTAATGGCTCACTTTAGCAGCTCCTGCTCAGTCTTCTGCTTGGGATGTCTCTGTTCTCTCCTTCCCAAACCTCTGGATCCCAGCATACAAGCACACTTCTGGAAGTAAGCAGCTGTGGATTTCAGCAGTGTAGGGCCTAAACATTGCTTGTGTCCAGAACAAAATATTTATCTGTATTTATGTAAATGCTTAGCTTTATAGGGTCTGTGCTTGCTTACCTTGATAAGTGCTGCTAAAAATAACACTATGGACATTGTGACATTTATGTTCAGCATTCATATAACATCTGCCACAACATCTATAACACCATGCTGGAATTTATGGAGCAAAACCATGGGGAATGTCTTTGCACGAGCTAGGGACAGACAAGACATATACTTTCAAAAGAACCCCTTTGCATTCAGGATACTTTCAAACTGCTGCTTACTAGCATGATACCCTGTGTTTGACTCAACCTGAAACACAGTATTTAATACTGGCATTTTCATTTTGTCTCACATTTGGACTGTGCTCTGGTTCTGCTACCGTAAGTTTCTGTGCCTATGCAGTGGGGAATATAAAACTGGGGATTTTTGAAGGTCTGGAGGTCCTTCAGTGTCAAATTACTTATGGAATTCTACTTCAGCACTTCCATAGGGCCCCCAAGTATTCTTGGCAGTTTACAATAGTCCTTGTCCCAAAGCATTTAAAATACATTTCAGATGTGTTGAGAATAATAAATCCAGAAGAAAGAAAAAAAGAATTAAATAATCTAAATGTAGTTAACATATCAGTGATTATATGGCTACACTTTAATTTATTTTAAGGCTTGGATGGAAGGACACCTCAACTTTAATTATTTTTTATTGACTTACGTTGTGACAGCATAAGGAATATTTCTAGAATTCAGATTTGAATTAGAGGGTTTCACATGAACTCTGTTTTTGAAAGAAAGAGTTGCAGACACTAGACTTCATTGTCATGTAAAAAAAAACCTAGAAACAAAATGGTTTATTCATCTTTTTCTCACCAGCTTCTCTTTTCCAAATATACTGATGCATTTGCCCATCTGAGATTGAAAGTATAGATAACTGAGAAACGTTTGCCTTATGGTTAGTGCAAAGGAAGCAGAACATAAAGTTCTGCTTTATTATAAGAAATGGGATGCTTCAACATTTCAGCAATTATCAGCCAGAAGCTGTTAAAAAACCCTAAAAAACAAAATATAAAAAAAAATCTGAAATAATGGAAAGCTTCTACCTTAGAAATGTAAAACTTTTTAAAAACAGCAACCTTGGATCATGTAGATTTGGTGCCTACTCACTGGAACGTCACCAAATCTCACTTGTTTTGCTTGGGCCTCACTCAAACATAACTGGCCTCAAGCTAGTAAGCAAGCCAGCAAATGTCCTGGCTTGTAAAGAAATCTGATCCAACCCTGTAAACCGAACCCAGCCTAAGAGCAGTGGTGAGTGGAACATATGGAAAATTAATGACAGATAATAGAATGGTGGGACTCCTTAAAGAAAAGATTGTTGTTGAGTTTATGCAACAATGCCAGCTAATGGTTTTATAGAGTATCTGAGTGATGTTTTTGACTTTGCCAGCACTTAAGCTCTAGAAAGGGCTGCTGTGTTTCTCTTCTCCCATTGCACATTCTTAATCAATACCTGTAGCTGCTGGTTCAGCTGCAGCAGCACTTTGGGAAGCACAGAGATCCTGGTCTCCATCTGTTTAAATAAATGAGAGCCTCAGGAAGAAGAGTGCATTGGAATTTCCTTGGGCTCAAACTGGGCATAGCAGCAAAAGCCAGGCTGAGAGCTAGAAGCCTGTCCAAGCACTGGGAGGAGGAGGTGAGCGTGGTGTGTGTGTTTTTTTTTTTTTTTTGCTCTGCAGACCTCCAGGCATTTTGCAGAGATAAGGTGCTTTGTGATATGATGTCACAGGTGGGAAATAGTCCCAGGGATCTCATAAGTTTCACAACCCCTCTCTGGTGAAGAAACTGGAAATGTAAACGGAATGAATGGAAAGAATAATTTTGGTGAAAGTGTATGTATTTCTGTAGTACACAAATCACATATTTATTTGGCTGATGGCCTGGGATGCTCATTTAGGGTAGGCTTTGAAATGTGACACCATACAGTAGCTGTTCTGTGCCAAGAGAAAAGTGATCTCTTCCCCCTCATTCCTCCACTTTTGTTTTATTGAAGACCAGCTAAAATCCTAACATTTCTCCTGCCTGGACCCTAAAATGTCTCTCACTCCTCCCATGGCTGCATCCATCCTGCTGCACAGGCAGTTGTTGAGGTTGATTTTCCCACTTAGAGACTCTTTAAGGCCAAAAGTTGTGAAACTCACCTGTTCATTCATTTGACTGCTTAAAAAACTCATGTGCCATTCAATATACTTGTTTTTTCTTCCTGAACCAGTTACCTCTAGGCCAACACAGTGGCTCAGGGTCCTTCCCAAAAAAAGCCTTGGAGAGTGTGTGGAGAGGACTGTGCTCACCTCAGATTCCTGAAAAGCAGGCACTGAGTGTCCCTGATGCCAGCTCTAAGCTTCTCTCCCCCCTCAGCTGAGAGGAGAAATGGAAGAAATTGATTTTGCCAATAAAAACTGACTTACTGCATCTTTACTGGAGTTTAAAGGAATGCACTGAGATCAGATACTGGTGAATTCAGTAGCTTACATTAAACAGATGATCATATTGGACCATCATAAGGATTCATACTAAGCATAAAAATGGATGTCTATAAAGCAACAAAAAAAAGAAAGCTAACTTGTATAGAACAAAATGAATATGCAACACACAGACACATAAATATATCTTATATATAGGCATACACAGTGGTAGTCGTAATACCTGTAGTGCAACAGAAAGCCTTAATTATGTGTGTGGAGTGATTTAGCAGACAAACTTTTTTTCCCTGAGAAGTAACTTTTAAGCCACTTCACATGGCTCAAAGACTGAGAATCAGTGTCAGTGGGAAAGGGAAGAAATGAGAAATTTTTAGAAATACCAATGTTTCCAAACATAAATGTTTCTATTTCTGGTTTGTTAAACCTGTTTTAATCCTTTTGGGTTCCTGGGTAGGAGTAAAACAGGTAAAACAGGAGCCTAAAGGTAAGACAGGAGCCTAAAGGTAAGACTTATGATAACTTTTGATGTAAAAGAGTGTTTGCTATGACCTTGCTAAACCTATGAACTGACCAAGAGAGGTGATGGCTCCAGAGTGCACAGTGAGTGTTTTGCTTTTCTTGTATCTAGAAGACTCAATACATGTGGGATATACCAAGAAAATTTCCTGCAGGGCAGTGGAGATATCCTACTGACAAGAAGGAGCTGTATTCTTTTCTCATCACCTCATAAACAGTGGGGTTCTGACTGAGGATGTTAGGTAATGCTTGCCACATACAGAACTCAAAGGGGGTATTACTTTCATTGTATAGCTCTTCGAGATCTGAGGCTTTATTGTTTAACAAAGCATATTGTTTTCCCCTCTTGCTTTTACTGAGCTTTGATGCTGATTTTAGAACTTGACAGCTGTGTTTAGACTTGTCTTACAGCTCTTGTACAGAGAGGGAGAAATAGAGATGTTTGGGGCAGCAGGACACCTGAGCTGTGTGGAGGGAACAGAGTCAAGGTTTGCCTTGGGAAACTGTGGAATTGGTCCACAGTGATGAACTTGAGCCACTCTCCTTTGGGGGACTCCTCAGAGAAGAATGCTGTGTGCCTCAGGGAGGGACTCAGGGCCACTCCACCACTGATGGAAGGTGTGAGCTCCAGCTGGGCACCATCCTTCATCCTGCCTTTGCTTGGGATTGGCATCCACAAGATTTTAACAGACCCCCAGGACTGCTTGATTTTCCCTGTAGTGCTCTTAATTTTTGCAGTGTTTAGGTATGAGTATTTTATGTGGCTAAATAATTAGAATGAAAGAATAATCATTAGGAATGGTTTCCAGAAAAAAAAATTAAAAAGGTCAGCATTTGTTACAGCTATTGTAATAAATGAAAACAACCTTTTTGTCATTACTCTGAAATACATAACATCAATTACTGTAGAATTATGTAAGTTCATCAGTACATCGTCTATGGCAGAAAGAAAAATGTATCATTTGTTTTTATTCAGTAGCTAAGTTTATAGGGCCCTCTTTGAATAATTATGGATATCTTGTTCAATATCTGAAAATAGTGGTATTGTGCCTTCTCTGCAGATACTGGGGAGAATGTTTTGAATGAGTTAGTGGAACTACACACAGGAAACCAGGGACTGGGCTGAAATAGAAATTTAAAAGGACATTCAAAACTAATAAAATAGAATTCAGCACAATACTATTCAAGTTCTGAATCTCTCATCTCTCCTCTCTCATCACCTCTCCTTTCTAATGTAGAAGAAGACCCAAGAATCTTAATTCTTTTCAACTTCTATAAGGTACCATGCAAACAAGGGCTCTTAACGAATTGTGGGTCACAATATTTTTTTGTTATCTTTTGAGAGAATGATATTTCAATGGTGTTTGTTTAAGTCATAGCACTGAGGAGAGGATTCTTGAGTTTCAGTAAGATTGTGTTGAAAGGAAAGGTGCAAAACCCCAGGCATCTTCAGATATTTGTTTCTGTAATATTTAGGTACATTCTGGTTTCTAAGACAGAGTGAATTTTGTGAGTGCAGGGCCCTGGGCAGCTTCTACAGTTTCTGTGTAAGAGCATCACCTTGCTAGACCATGAGTTTGTCTATTCTGTAAAAACACTTCTCCCACTCTGATATAAGATTTTTCTCGACTTTGTTTTCTCACCTTCTTTCCAGAATTTATTTGCCTTTAGAAGCTGATGGATGTGGCATGATGAGCAATCCTTGCCATCCATTGCACACGCTTGAACACACTTTGAATAAAATTTTAACTGAGTATCAGAAACAAGAATAATTTAATGGCTACAACTTTTAACCATTTCACAACTGATCAGTTTAGAAGGAGTGTAAAATCAGTATATTTCTAAGCCAATATAATATTCTTTGTTATGGGTCAGTATCATTTGTATCCTGTATAAATGAAAATTAGAAATTTAGAGGCTTTATTTCAGCACTGAGTACAACCTGCATTTATTTTCAAAGAACAAAATGTACTACAGGATGTTCACTTCTAACATAAGATTCTAAACCATACTCCTATAACTTAGCCCCCAGGTTTCAGTCATTTTGGAGAGGAAAAAAATCTAAAAATTCTTAGAGTATTAGTCAATTTAGAACCAGACCCGAATTTCATCGCTTGGACAATTCTTCATTTTCAAACCTCTGTGTTTGGCAGAAATGTCTGGAATGTGGAGTATTGTATTTAAAAATAAAGCAAAACAATTCTTCATAGCCACTCTATCATTTAGCTAAACAAAATCCATACCCACATCATTTTGGAAGCAGGGAGTAGTGAGGATTGGAGAAGTAGTGGGGGAAAAAGAAAGAATTAGGAGTAAAACTGTATATACAGTGGCCAGAATTAATTACTCTGAGGTTTGGAACAAAGATGAAAATATAAATTAAACAAAACTGCCTTTATTCCATAAAATACTTAAAGTGCTAGTGCAAGAATTCAGAGGGTGCAGTGTTTAGTTCCCAAGAAAACTGTATGAAAGGCCAGGAAGCCACTTCTGCTTGGTTAGCCTTGTACCAAGGATCAAAGCAGAAAGGTATCTCATTTCCATGTATAACTTTGAAGTATTTTATAAAGAAATTCAGAAAATGTGCCTTTGAGTAGTTCTTACCAGGCTGCCTTGCATCAGAAGAATAAATAAAATCTAGAATGTCTCTTTGCTGGAAGATGTACCAGTACTGTATTGTTCAAAACTTCTTCATCTGTCTCTAGTAATTCTTGGTTTGTGAAGACCAAGAAAGAGTCAGACAGGTTTTTTATTGCCTTGGGATAATTTTTTTTCTTTTGCTCTCATAAACCTTCCATATGCTTCTACATCCATGTCTTGTTTTCAATTTTAGTGAAGGTTTTTATTTGGAGTCTCATAAAATTCTAATTTATTGCAGCTTCTTTTTATAAAATGCAGAGGGGAGGAGGGGAGTATTGAGATAGCATGTGCAAGGCAGTCCCAAGGAATGCATTTGAGAATTTATAATGTTGGGCAGTTTATCAACCCCTACTTCAGTTATTGGCAACTCCTTTTCCTAACTCTCTAACCTATGAGCCTCTTTTCTTATAGTGTATGGAAGACATGCAGTATCAGTCTATTTAAGTAAGAAAGTCTTCTTTCTTACTTATGCAAACTGTCTGCATTTGCAGAGTGAAGGGAACTCAGGTGAAAGAGCCTCCCCTGTACATTATGTGCTCCTACAGCTGTCAGTTCTCACTGTGCTGTTGAGGACTCATTTCCATCAGTGTGCACTGTTTGTTGAATACTCATAAGAAATAAGGTAGGAGTGACATATCCTTCTGGAAGTCAGGAGGAGAGCGTTTGCCTTTGAGGGAGCAGGAATACATCCAGGCTCACCTACTTGTGCTCGGTTCAGGACTGACTCAGGACCAAACTGAACAAAAAGGAACAAAGTGCATTTCCCATCAGCAGAACTGTTTTCCTTTGCCCCTCTCTGGTGTTAAGTTGACCAATCTAAATGAAAACCTCATACTTCAAATAGTGAAGAATTGTGGTGCTAATGAGTTACCATGGTACAAAGTTACTGCGAAATTTCAAGTAGTACCTGGCTTCCGTGGAATGAGCACAACTTTTTTTTTGAGCGAGGAACTACATCACTTTCATATAACTAAGTGCTGTGCTGAAAATATCTGTGAAAACAACTCTCAAGAGTTAAAAGAGCAAGAGCACAACGAAAGGTGTGATCAGGCAAGCCAGTAGCTTGAGAATTTTGTGCAAATGGCACGTATACTTTTGCATATGTTGCTTGTCTGATATACATGTAAACATATATATGTACACACATGCAGATATTTTCTGAACATATTCTTCTTTGTGAATGTGAACCCCTTCCCACTCTGTACATATTGTGGTATATCAGTAACACAACACTTGTGATGTTTAAATGTTTGGGGAGAAGACTCTCCTGGAAAAAGTTCACGGGGGTGGGTCCACCTAAGTACTGAAAGAGAAATTCAAGTCCCGTAGCACATTTGAAATCTATTCTTGCAGGGGCTGTAAGGAAATATGAGACCTGCTCTGCTGGAGGGAAACTGCTGGGCACTGGACCCTTTTTTTCCTCCTCTAAATAAAACATAGAATAGGCTTTTAACTGCCTTTTCTCCATAATAGCTACTTAACCCTGTTCACTAACATTAAGGAAAAAAAAGGAAAATTCCAAGAAAAATTCCTATTCAGAGTAAAAAATATAAATTAAACCAAAGTGCGCAATGCACACCCTTTTCTTTCCTTCCTGTTTTGTTTGGTGTTTTCTAACTCTGCTTTTTGGACAGCTGAATGGGGGCTGGGAAAGTGTTTACAATATTTTCACATGATTGAGATGGCAGAGTTCTTGCACTCTGTGAAAGGCCTTCTGTTTTCAGATGGCATTGAAAGTTTACCGTCTTTCCAGACAAAAGGAAGAGAGCCCGTTGCCAGCGGATGAGTAATGGGCATGGCCTCTGCACAATACCTCCTATCCAGCCCTAAATCTACATGGTGTTCTTAGGCTTCCCGGCTTCTCCAAAGCAACCTTTGTCTCTGCTCTGGGAGACCAAAACTGCTCGTTGGGCAAGTGGGGATGCAGCCAAGAGGGGAAGGCTCAGTGACAACAGTTGCTCAGTGCTCACTGCCCAGTATCTGCCTCCTTACCATGCCACTATAATAGTTGGGAACCCATCAACAATTGAGCATCTTCTATACAAATATGTTGCAGACCATCTGTATAGTTTTCAGTTCCAGAAGATTCCAGTAACTCACTAAGTTTTAATACTTTTTTTTTTCCTTCTCTTTAATCTGATGGGCTGCCCTGATATAAGTGATTAAAGCAAAAGCCTGACATAATTTCTTCGGAGCTAAAACTGCACAGAAGTTGCCAATTCCTGTATTTGTTTTCTTACAAGAAACTTGAAGCAGGCATTTTCCACTTTTAACAATTTTTAGGTTCTATCAAGTCAGCTTTTTTTCATTTTTTCGGTCAGAAAAATATTTTGGTGAGAACGATTGATAACATAATCTTAGAAAATATTTGAACAGGCAATTCTGAAGTTTTTCCAGAGACTTGTTGGTGTTATAGAGACCAGTAGGTAATTTTTTTCTTGTTTCTCTTACAAAGCTTCCTAGAGCCTGTCTATTTGGAATTTATCTAAATGTGCATATGTCTATGTAGGCTATCTATGCGTGGGGCATGTATGTGTGTGTGAGCATCTCTGTCTGTGTACCTGTCTAAAAGAACTTGTATTTCACTGTGCTATAAAGAGCATGAAGAAGAGCTTTCTAAGAATTAACTAGGCATTCATTAACTGCCCTTAATTTTGGCTGTGTTCTTGGCTGAGAAATATCAATATTAAGTTCTTATTCTTTCATGCTAATTTCGTGTTGCATAGCGACTCATGTATTGTTGTCAGGAAAATAGAAGCAAAGACGTAAGAGATACAGAATTTCTTAAGGGTTGGTTGCAGCTGGTATCAGCAATTCACTGACTAACCTGTGGTAACCTGTAGTGCTGACAGTCCTGGGTACACAAGCAATGCATTAAGATTATTAGCAAAACAATTTTCTAAATTACCTGAATGAAACTTTCAAGGTAACTAATTCTATTATTTGGATTTTTTTTTTCCTTCCCCTCCGCCCCTTTTTTTTTTGAGGAGTTAACAATCTAAAACAGCATTAAAATAATCTGGCTTAATTTCCTCTGCTGAAAGAGCATGTCAGCTGAAGTTTGGACATTTTGCTGAAAGGGGGTGGGGGGAAAAAAACAGGTAGGTTTTGTTTTAAAGAGCATGACCATACACATTCTGCTCTGGTGCCTTTAAAGAGAACTTCCCTGTGTAAATGCCCTTGAGCAGAGAAATACCAACACCTCTTAATTGTTTAATATATTACAGCCTAAAACATTTACAGAAGTGCTTTCCAAGTATTTCACTGTTCCAGGTGCTTGGTCCTGCACCTCCTAAAATAATAGGCTATTTCCCCTCAGTTTTCCTGTGCTTGGTGCCACAATGAAACATATGCTCTGTATCAAGGGAAGGGGAAGTGAGGGGAGTAAGTGGGATGCCTGACATTGGGGCTGGTGCTTGCGGCATACACAGACCTCTCTGTCCTGCGTCACAGAGCTGCTAAAGAAGGAGAAAATAACATGGCTTGTGCTTGGGCTGTAAGGTCCAGGGAGAAAAATATCATATTGTTAAGCATTTGAATGTCACTCTGCATAAAGACCCCTTATCACTGTGTCCTCTGAGAAGCATCACAGAAAGGAATAATAATTCTACTAATCAGGGTTGGACATACACCGGTGCACAGTACAGCTGTCTTGCAGCTGCCTCAGGGCCATGCTCCAAAATGTATTTATTCTTGCATGGAGGTGTCATGAAGCCAAAGTCTGATGTCTGTCACATGTAACCATGTTCCAGACTGAGGCACAAAGATTATTTGGAAAAAAAATTATGCCTTATTTTGACCCAGTAGGGATAAAGTAAGATACAGTTTTCTTGGCCCGTGCTTAAATAATTTATTTTTCAACTTGCTTAGCCAAAATGGAGTGAGGCTTTTCCCCACTCGAGAAATAAATCTCCTAATGCAGAGCACTTAGGGCTCCCTAGTGTCTCTGTGAGACTCTGCCCTGACATATCAGGACTGGAGCTGTGCTCTCTCTCTTATCTGCACATCGTGCCTCTGCTCAAGGGCTGTGCATCACAGCCATGCCATGAGCACAGACACATGGAGTGACAGCTCCTGGGCACTGAGTGAAACTGGGCAGGCAAAAGAACTTAGTCTGGAAATGCCTCCTCAGAAAGTTCCTTCTCCTTCTCGAAAAGCCTCCCTACTGTGCAAATGCAGGCTAATGAAAATGGTTTAAAGAGCTGGGGTCTCAAACCCTTCCAATAATTCTGTGTAAGGGAGCAGCAGCTGGATGGTTTCCAGTAAGGAGCTGGAGGGAGAGAGGCTCTGTCTGGCCCGAGGGAGGAGATAATGTGAAGTTAAACAATTCTGTGAGAGTGGAGGACTGAATCTTTCCGTGGCTGCAGTTTCCATCAAGCACTTCCCAGCACAGTTGCCTGCCATCCCTTTGAACCCACTCTCCCATGTGACAGAGCAGTGATCTGGCTGCTGAGCCACTAGACTAATATTGTTCTTTTAATCTCACAAAAATGTGTTATAAAGGAGTTGGATTCACATGAGAAATTAAGTATAAGATCTGTCCTCATAAAGACATTATACCATGAATGCTCTCTTTCTGCTGGCTGCAAGAATAGGTGGCTCAAGGGTGAAAGGGTAGCATTTACATTTAAATACACCTATTGGAATTGCACAAACAGAAGGCTAAAGCTACTGCTCCCTCTCTGAATGCTTTTAGTTTTTTTTTTTTTTTTTTTTTTTTGCATAGTCAAAAAGGGGAATCGAGATGCTTAAGATCCCATAAAGTAAAGGAGGTCTTTGTGCCAGCAAGATAAATGGATGAGCCTTTTCAAAGTAATTATTTTACTTTTTTCATCTGTATGTGCCACTCAGGAGGCAAAATCCAGATTTCAACCAGAGCTTTCTCTGCTGTTACACTAACTGGTGGTGCTGGCTGGGTGGATGCTATTTACATTTCCCAGAGAAAATGAAATGCACTTTTTTTTTTTTTTTTTCTATCTGCCAAACCTAGATTTACCCCGTGATAAAACAGAAAGCTTCTTAACACCTGGATAAAACAGAAACTGAAACAGGGTAGAAAGGACATTTGGTGCAAGGGTAGCCTGGCAGCCATGGTGCAAGCTCAGTGAAACCCTTGGAATGCACCTGCTTGGCTCAGGCCAGGGCTTATTCCCTTTCCTCTCCAACATCTTTCTCCCTCCCCTTTGTACAGTGACCGAGGCTTATGGGCTGGAGTTGCAAAAATTCTGGGCTTACCTTTGCTCTCTAGGATCTCTGAGTGAAGGAAAAAAAATATTAAAAAAACCTCCCAAGCCTATTGTCCTTGATTTTTTCTTCAAAATTTTGATGGCTCTTTTATCATGATTTTCCACTACACATACAAGGGCCAAAACCAAAGTTCATGAATAAATGCCTTAAAATTACAGTGTAGCTGGAAATCAGAAATCAGGAGCTCCATGCTAAACAATTTTTGCACATACTCCCTGATGTATATTAAATTGCTACACAGCATATAGCTAATGACTCAAATCATTAAATATGTTCCAGATACCTCTGAACATTTAAGAACTTGAAATCCAGATCTGGATGTGCAGTTTCTTAATATGTATTTCTTAATATGTTAATAATTTTTCCATTGAATATGTATGTACAACTGCTATCTTACTGTATAACTTGGACTGTCGGCAATATTAAGTAACTTTTTAGAAAAATTAATCAAATTATATGAACTTTGGAATCTCTGCAGAGTGAAATGATCCCATCATCAAAATACATGCAAAAAAAGGGTGAAGGAATCCATAACTCCATGGTCAGTATCCCTTTGTGGGTCCTTGTTTTTAGAGTATATCTGACTGTATTTTGTTCGGGTCTTTTACAGTTTTGGCCTTTACAACACTGAGTGTCTGTATAAAATAAAACAGTGTGTCCCTTAGTCTTCCTGGTCTAGCAAGTCCTAGTCCTCCTAAGTCTTTGTAAATTTTATGGTCTAAGAAATGCTGAATAATTTTTTTCCTGTATGCTTTCTTGATTTTTAGTAGTTTTATGTCAACTACTCATCAGTCATCTTTTTTTCCAAGCCAAGGAGTCCTCTGCCACGTAAACTCTCCATGTAGAGAAGCATGCCAGATAATCCTTGTTGCACCCTGCTTTAGCTCTCCTCCTTCTGCTGTGCCTTTTTGGAGGTGAGGGGTCAGAGGTGTGCTCGGTATTCACTCTGAACATCCTCGACATTGTTATTCTTTCCCTCAAAAGGACTCTTAAAATGCTGTGTGCTGTCTGCCTGCTAGCAAGCATTGGGATGACTCAACAGAGTTCTCATGGAGTTTAAAGGTCCATTTTAAGAAGGAATTATCCTTATGGCCCATGGATTCATAGGGCCACATTACCTGAACTCAGAGGATTTTATGCCCTCTGCAGGGCAGTTTAGACACCCTAAATACCTGTGTTTTGAACTTACAGTGCAATGAAAGTGCCTCAGTGCTCCTGAAGGAGTAATCCCTTCCAGCAGCCAACAGTCAATATTATGCACCTCAGCCCATTGGAAATTTAGGCAAAAATTATCTTCCGAGTAATAAAATAGAAAGTAAAGCCTGTATTCAAAAAGTAGAGGGGATGGTAGATATTCTGAGGTTCTGGTTCCTGGCCTCAGTTTCCTGTTTTCAATAGTAGTGTAACATAAAATACACAGTTTTTTCCAAGAAAAAGAACCAGAATCAATCTACTACCAGGATTTGAGAGGTAAGTAATTTCTCTTGTTTCTGGAGAAACCTTGTCAGGTTTCTCTTCCAGGTCAAAAAAGGAAGCTTGCAGTTGCTTTTGGGTTTTCATATCATTAGGCTGTGGTCAGAAGATGGTGCAAGTTGCTGTTTGAGGTTAGAATCAGACACCTCCATTCAAATTCAGGCAATATTATTGGATATGGGCCGAGAAGTTAATGCTAGAAGGTTAGTATCATGAAATGACATCAACCATAGCTCAGCTACAATCAAATATTTATTTCCTAGTTTGAGGCTCTCATTTTACGCTCTGAATGAATAAAACACAGCCTGACCAAACGCAGGTTGTGAGACAAGTGCAAGCTCTCCTTGGAGGTTAACAATCTGATTTCTCTCTCACACCACTTTTACGGTCATTTAGCTCCATTGACTTTGGTGGAATGAGTCCTGATTTACAACATTGCTCCCAAAGACCTGACACCAGCGCTGCTATTGTGTAGCACAGCTTTAAACCTGCACTGAAACAAAGCGTCTTTCCATTGTGCTTGCCACAGTAGTATCAGTTCTAAGCCCTAAAGAAAATCTTTGTTAAATCCAGATCCATAGAGAACACATTTTGCAAAAATTATTTTGGTTTCTCGTTTGTGGCATTATTTTATAATTTAATATTGGTTATGAGGTTTGTTGTTTTCTTATTTTTTCTCCAGTGATTTTCACTTACTGAGGTAATCCTGGGGTTTCAGATCAGAAATATAGGTCAGAGGTTTACAAAGTCCATATTTGTGCATAATTTTGGTTGGAATAGATACCACCAAGCTGAAATTAAATCTAAAAAATGCTGCTAAATTTAAAAACAGAAGCAACTAAAAAGGTAGAATTAGTAATTTTAGACATGACTTGGAAATTAGTTTACCTGCTGTCATCTCTCCTCAGTGTAAGTTTGCACACAATGGACTACCATTTCTTCAATGTAATGTGCACCACCATGTGAGGTCTCCTGTGCTCCTTCTTACCTCATATTGACTTCCTAGTGTAGAGTAGGCAGGAAAAAACATCTGAGTGCAAGCATCTGATCAAGCAATGAGAATCTGTGCTCTTAGCTTGACTCATGTTGAGACAAAATACTGTGGGAAAGCTGAGCAAGCTGAGCACAATAAACTTTCAGTCTGCTTCTCTGCTAGGTAGATACAGCCTTTCCTGCTGGAGTTCTCCTTTAGGATCTTTAACTCATGTAGGCTGAGGATATGGAAGAGCACGTGTGCTTTTGATATCTGTCTGGTGTATTGCTTAAATTGCCAGAGTTCATTTTTCAGAGTCCTTAGTCTGTCACTGGGAAGCTGTAGAATGATCTTCCTCATCAGCCAGCCCTTGTCTTCCCAGTGCAATGGCCATATTCTTTGGAGAAGATATCAACTCTCTTCTCTTCCTCCTTAACACAATCTGAAGTGTGGTAGGAACATCAGGAGGGCAGGGCAGCATTAAAAAGGATTTGTTTCCTGAGAGATGGCATTGTTTCTCAGTTCCCAGCAGCAGAAACTTTAAACTAATGACCTTTCCAGAACATGTAAGCCAGCTGAGCCCAAGACTCATGTTCGTTTTGATGAATTGATATTTTGTTATGATCATTTCTAGCAGGGACAATGTTTTGCAACATCATTTTAATGATAATAATAAATAAAACCATACTCCCTTCTCTACCCCCAGAACAACCTCCACCTTGGTTATTTACCCAATGGGTCTTGGGGGGCTTCTAAGCTTTTACAATTGTCAGGGTCAGTGCAAGATAGACTCTGCTGAAAGAACCAGGTACCTGTAGTGCCACTTGTGTTTCTCTTCCTCCCCCTCTCCCAAATCCTGACTTTAGGGAGGGAACAGATATTTTTTCTTATGTGCCTGGCTTGCTGGGAAAGCCACATAGCTGTGGTCTGTTTGCTCAACATTAGCTGTGCTGCCCAAGTGTGAAAGCAAGCATGGAGTGTAGATTCTCTCCGACTTCTGTGGGATCTGGAGCAGATCCATGAGGAATGCTACTGTTTTCAGCACTTCCCTTGCTCTGCCTAAGACCAGGCACACTGAGATATGAATGTTGTTACAGCTGCCACACACTATATATAAGCCTCATGTTGATGATTATTGCTTTAAACTAGGTCTTTGTTTAAAAATGTTTTCTTCCATCTAGAATCTACCAGGTTGTGTTATACTTAAAGTAATGCTTGCTATTTTTATTGCTGTTACAGTGTACCTGGAATTTACATAATCTCACAGTGTGTGTTTATAAAAAAATACTGTCTATTTATTTATTGATTATGCAGACAGCTTTATAATGTGGAGAACTAGCCCCAAATTAATTGAAACTAATGGACCTATTCATTTTTCAGTTGTTTGTATCATTTTCTATTTTGGTTTCTTTATTACTTCTAGTGGATCTGTTTCGATCCATTCCCTCCATTACAGTGCTTTCCTTTAAAAATATAATGAACTCTGTTGCATTTCAGAGAGCTGCATGGTCAACTCATGTCACTTCTGCCACCTTGCTGAATGCCGTGTCACACTGCCAACACTTGGAAGCACTGACTGCTGGCTCCTGCAAGACTGGAAGGAAAGGAAGACCTGAACTTCATTGCATTGACTACATCTAAACTATTAAACAAAATTAATCAGAGAATTTTCCTGGAGGCCAACTGGCATGAAAGAGCTTGAATCCACACAGCTAAACTCTCTTGCCCTCCAAATCACGGTGGCCACATCCAAAATATCTGTTGGAGGTGGTGCCTGACCTGGGTCAATACCCAAGCTGTGCTTTGACATTGTCTGGAAGAGCATTAGCAGGCTTGCACCAAAACCATGCCAGGGACCAGTTTAGTAGTATGGATGGTTTCAGGCCCATGCCTTGCTGGTCTTGTTTAGTTTATTTAGTGTCAGAGGGAAACCTCAGTAATTCTGCCAGGAGTCAACAGGAAACTCCTTCTGGCCTCAGCCACCAGAAGCTGCTGAGAAGTATAATCATTAGGTTGTTCACCTCCTTCACATTTGGATTATTCTTCTCATTTTTTTATTTACCAAATGAGCACTGAAAATCTTTGAAATCTCATAGAATAATAAAATTGGGTTGTTGCCTGCACAAAACTTGTTAGTTTTGAATTACCAAGAGATTTTTTCACACAAGCTGAGCTTCTGGAAAAGCCAGCTTTAGCTCTCCTCCCTGATGAAGGATCTCCTATGGCTTTGAGCAAGTTGCTAAGAGCTTGTGTGACCAGTGCCCTGTTTGGATATAGGGTTAAAAAGCAGTGAGGTGTTGAGATACAAACACACCAGGTGCTTGAGGTCACATAAGCATGCTAAACTGGTGTGAACATAGAACTCCCCTTGATTTCTGTAGCAACTTATTTCATATGTCTGGGAAGGCAATTTATTTTAAACTCTGCCGAAAGAACATGAGTACATTGTTATATCAGGATCTTTTCAAAGTCAGAGCTCTGGGGCTGGGTTTGGATAAACCTGATATGTCCTTCATACATTGTGAGGTAGTTTGGGGAGCTCGTGCTCTGTGTTTCTAGAGCTAACTCTGTGCAATGGTATCCCAATTATCCTATGGAACACTGTACTTCACAGTACTGTGAGATACTTCTGCCTGCAGCAATATAAATCAGAATCAGGCAATTAATGCCTGAATCTTTTTCTCTAATCTGAAGATAAATGGCAGTGAAGGCCAAGTAGTTTTAAAAAGCTCATCGTACAAAATTATTATATTAAGCCATGCTGTATTACTGAGATTACAGAAAATTACCTACGTGTATTGAATTAAACCATGATTTTCCAATGATCTCAGCAGCAGCAGCAGCAGAACTGGGACAATTTAATCATTGTGTTATCAGTTTGGTAGGTAACTACTACCCTGAATTGCTGCCCAGAATGAAAAAATGGTATTGTTTTATACAGAAACTAGCCCTTATTTAACTTCCAGCATTAGCCCTTACTCTTCTTAGACATCAGGCATATGTTTGAATTTCTGAAGCTGACAGGTACTGATTTCAACAACATTTAAAGCAATGCATATTTTGCCTCAGGTTTGCTAGAGGATAAGTGTACTCTTAATTAATGTGGTCATCTGATGTACAGCACCTTGCTGAACTATCAGAACTTGATTGTGTGCTTTTACCCAGTGTTCCTTTTTGGGTACAAAGTCTGTTTCATAATTGACCTATTCATGGATCAGTCTCAAAAAAGAGGTTGTAGAGCCCTACACGTGCATAGTCCTACCTGGCCCAGGCTGTGCAAATCCTATTTAATGAAAATGTTATGAAGCAAAGAAACAAGTTGTTACCCAGAATGATGTACTCAGAAATTGGTATATTTTCTCTGAGCTGGATTTTGAAAAGCAGGAAGTATGGTAAAGCAGAGGAGAAACATTTAACCTTATCTAATTTTTCCTCCCTTTTCCTTCCCTTTTCTGTCTTGCCCCTCAATCTCCAAGCACTCTCCCATGGATGCTTGCATATGGCAGTGGCTCTGCTGAGACCAGTGCATCAGTTAAGGTTTGTAAGGCCATAATGTGTTTATTTTTGCAGTCTGATCTTATGAGAAACTGAGGAGGTCTTGCATCTCCCTCCTACTGATAACAGTGGTGTTGAAAGAGCTCAGTGCATTCCAGGGCAAAGCCTTGGAGGCTGTGGGTTAGGGAGTTGCTAACCCTCCTTTGGAAGTATATGCAGATTCCTTTGGCCTTCACTGGGGGAAAGCCTGGCTCCCCACTAAAGAAAAAGAAAAGAAAACAACAAAAACCCAAGATACAAACCCCCAACACAATAGTTGTGGTGGTCCAAATAAAACATAAAAACCCCAGTCTCAGCCCAAACACTCAATCTGGGGAGGCTTTAAAGCTCGACCCAGGGATGAGTCCATGGTCTCTTTGTGGAAAAAAGGTGCAGGCTCTGGCCATGCATGAGTGGGCTTTGGTGTGCAAGGATGTAGCCCAGTGGCCTGGGCTGGTAGTCCCTGCCTGCTGGCTCAATGCTCATTCACCCTGCACAGGCTCTGAGCTGTGCTCTGCAGCCATCACCCCAGGCTTCATCTCAGGCTCTTTTTGACCCTCTTTGGCTGTTTTAAAGCTGGATCCTTTCAGCTTATATTCTCTCTCAAACAATTCACTCTCCTCCCCCCCTCCCTTCTCTACTTCCACAACTGAACTCACTTTTCCAAACTCCCCATTCCACCATCTATCCACTCCATATGTTTATATTTTCCTATTGCTGAGGCATGGCATGCTGACCTGCCTGGACAGAGCTCCTTTATCACAGAGATAAACATGATGTCCCCCTCACATAGAGTTTCTATCATGTGTGACCTTTCATCTTGAACTGCCATGACCTTTTTTTTATTAATGCTGTACTGTGCTGCTTGCAGAAGCCAGGAAAGAAAATCTTTTGTTTCTAGATAGAATACTGCTAAAGGACATGATACGGTCTTGTTTTTAATCCAGCTAATTAAAATCTGCATGTGCAGTGTAACTGAGAATGCAGCCTTCGCCCACCACTTTCCCACAGGCAGGGAATAAAGGCCTTTAGTGCAGCAGCAGCTAGCCACCCTTGGATAACAGAGAACAGAGACCACAATTCATCCCAGCTTTCCTTATCATATTCGCAGAGGGCTTTCCCCTCCCTCCCTCTCTCCCTCCCCCTCTCTCTCCATGGAATCACTTACTGTAGCTATGTGCCTCTATATATCACTGCAGAATGTAATCAAGTTAAAATTATGTTAGCTCGCATTTATCTATGCTCCAGTGAGCTTCAAATATAATTCATTTCTAGGGAAAAAAAAAAAAGAAGAGGAGGGAAAAGGGGGAGAAAGAGAAAGAAAAAAAGAGAAAGAAAAAGAAAGAAAAAGTGTCTATTTCTAATCGAATGTCAACCCTACTTATTTTAAAACAGTTCTGCCAAGAACTAACTGAATATCACAGTTTAGCAGTTCACACTTTTGTATGTTCATTATGTTGGCTTTTTTTGGATTTACTGGATGGTTGTGGTTATTACTAAAGCTGCTTTTTGTGTGTGTGTGTGTGTCAGGGAGAGGGTGCCATGGAATTTTTTCTTATGAAACATTTCCTTGGTTAGTTTTTCACTTGTTGGTTTTTGTTGGGTAACTGAAGTGGGGAGGGAGGAGGAAAAGGAAGGCAGCCTGGTGGGAAGGAGCAGTGAGGGCAGAATGGGAAGCACTAAAATTGAGCCCCCACCTGTTTTCTCTTTCTTCAAGTCATGTTTTATATGATGATGATGAGGTCATCAGGAAGTATAAAAATGTGCCAGGAGATTCAAAACTTGGAAGGAGATTGTACAACATGAGTAGAAAATACATTTCAGTGCATGTGCAGGAGCCCTTCCCCCAGAGAAGCACACAAACAGGCTTTCTGTGGTCATTCCCTGGTAACCCACACAAAGAGCTGCTCAAACAGCTGTGCCTTTGGCTCAGCACCATCCGTGGGGCTGCTGTGGAAAATGCTGATTTTGGGGCATTAACTTCCCCAGAACAAATTCAGGGAAATATACTTACAGATTGTTAATGGAAGGCTTTGTGAATCCTAAATAAATGTGTGCCATGTTGGGAAATTATTTCTCTTATTTATTGTAACCAAAGATTCATATGTGTGTGTTGTACTCAGGGAATGATTAAAGATATGTGGAAAAGTGATGTTTTGAATTCCAGTAAGGCTTATTAGGTGACATCAGTCTAACTAAAGTACCTGACACCACATTTTTAAAATATCTAAATATTTTGAAAACAGAAAAGTATGATTGAAAGATATCAGAAGCACCATGCTGCCTGTATATTAAAATATGCCATGTTGATCAAGCATGAGAGTGCTTTTCATCACAAATTGGTTATTTCATGCTGAACTCTATAAGCAAGAATAGAGATCTGTATACTTTTCTGCTTTTACTGTCTATAGAAGGATGATATTAAATAAGAAATAGCTATTATTATACCTGTATAATTCTGATAGATTATATTTATATACCATGGCATAAGTTTTTACTTATTTTGGAATTAGCATAAAATCAGTAAAACAGTGGTAGCCAAGAAGATATTTATCTGTATTTTACCAAGTTAAGGTTTTCTGTTTCTCACATTTTGATGAATATATTCAATAATTGCTCTTTAATAGTGACACCTACTTTGACACACTGAAAAGGTTGTTAATGTCAAGTCACATATTTGATAAAAAATTAGTGTTTGCATATTGCATAAGCAATATAAGACTTATGAAGCTTCATGTATTCCCTTTAAGTGGGCTAATCCTAATAAATATGACATTTTTATTGTTGCTTAGCAGTCTTCTTAGACATAAAATTAATTTGCATTTTGGGGGACAATTACCATTTTTATGGGCAGATCCAATGTTAAATTATGACCTGTAATTCCATGTAACTAATAACATAAATTAGGAGGGTGATTATTATTTTTGTCACTAATAGCTGTTGTTGTAGAGTACATTTTAAGGGGAGGGCATATAACAAGAACTGAAAATCAACCCATTGCTATGTTAGTCACATAGGGCAAGCAGCATGGCATAAATTCCCTCTCAAAGTTACTGGAGGATGCTGAACATCAGGGCATGCTAAAGGTCAGGCTTAATAATGGGGCATAAGTCTCAGACCCCGACAGTGAACATCTCATGTATTGAAAATCAGGATGTCTTTACTAAGTCCCTAAATCACTTTATGCACTCAAAGCCACATTCACAAAGTTTAGCTTGTGATAAGATCTAGAAGCGTTTAGGAGGTTCTTGTCAATACATTTAATGAAAAGAGGGTCAAAATAACATTCTGAAATCTCATATGTGGGACCTGAACCTGCACTTCTGATGTTCTGATTCATCTGTGTCATCAGCAACTGCTTACAGGGATTCCTTGTTGGTGATACCATGGAAAATAAGACTATGACAGGAGGCCACACCCGAAATTTTGTATCAATTTTTTGTTAGTTTTCAATTCCCCTTTCAAAAATTTATTTCAAAGTTTTCAAATTTTCGTTGTTTATACATCCACTTTTTATGCCACCTTTTTATTAATCTTGAGCACAACAGATATATACTGATCTTTAAGAACTAAGAGGATATTCTACACTAAGTGAAAGTTCAGAATACCAAAGAGGCTGACATGTCATCGATGGCAGTTATTTAAAATATTCAGCTATGGCTGCAGAAAGATCCCTTTAAAAATGACTGTTCTTCTTTCCTATACTAACCTCATATCAAAGCAAGTACTTAAATCAATGCCAAAAGGAGTGAAAAGAATAATTGTGATTAAATTCCTTTTGACACTAGACATTCCCCTCGAAATCCAATTCTCAGATTTCACTGCATCCCTTCTCAACAAAAGCTGGCTGACCCAATTGTGCAAGAATTTTTTATAAGGCTGTGAAACCAAGGGCTGGTTAATCAGGCCCTTTCTGCAAATGATGAAGACCAAGGCAGAAATGCTGCATCCAAACTGATGATTCAGGGGGACAGTAGGAGGCAGCTGCTGAACTGCAAACAGAATGTGAGTCACCCCCTACCTCACTCTTGAATGAAAAACCCCAAACCAAAACAATAATATGCTTAGAAATTACTTTCTCTACTCTCAGATTGAACGAAGAGAGTGGCAGCCTGTCTGTCCTTGCTTAAATAACTAGGTAAGTTTTTTACTGGTGGTGGACAGAATGGTGTAGCCACATAGCTCTGGAAATGGAAGAGTAATGCTGACCAATAATTGTGCCAAAGTCTGGTTTTACCTACTAAGAAGAATTCTGCATGGATAAAAAACAACTTGGAAGCTGAGATTTAACCTTCTGCAACAGTGTAGTCACAACTATTATCCTAATAAGTAATGGGGACAGCACTCATTAATTATAAATAATTAATTATCAGCAATGGGAAACCTATGGTAGCAGCAGGAACCCAAGGCTGGTGCCCTGCAGGTACCTGGCAAATGAAATGTGATAGGCACACACCGTATCTCCTGCCCTTGCCAGGTATGACTGAGAGGTATAAACTACTGGAATAGAAAGAGAAATTTCTTGCTGAAAGCATTGTAAAGACTTCTTCCTACTCACTTATCCCTTGTTTGTCAGTAAGGTCCCATGTGTTTTTCTGAGACACGATTTTGTCCAGAAGGAGCAAGGTGAGCTTCCATTCAGTTCAGCATTAAACTGAAAATGGTCCTTGCAAGCTCTTCTTTACCTGTGGTAAGAAGCCTTGAACTCCTTTAAAGAAAAAACGACTGAAACTCATTTTTCCAAATAGCCTGATGCTGTTCCCATTCATATTGGTTGGATTAGTATGCCTACCTACTTCAACATCAGGGTTTTGTCTTTTGCTGTAGGAAATAAAGTCCTGAACTGTACCCTCTACCTAAAATCAAGAAGACAGTTTTGGATAGGTAGAGTATCCAAAGTTCGTATTTCTGAAATTGTGGCCACAAGCAACTAGCCAGAATTTGGCTCTCTGAATTTGTTCACTTCCTATGAGAATGGCAGTATTATGACGTTGACTATGAATGCAATAATCCACAGAAAAAAAAAATAACATGTTTTGCACATTTTCTGGTACCAAGGGATTACCATTTACTGCTGCTGTTATTTAGAAATACTTAGTACATATATGTAGCCTTTCTAGTTTTCTCAAAAGAAATGAGAACAGGATTATATCTGAGCTGGCTAAACATTTACTATTGTGATTATAATAATTGTCTCACTTTTACCTTTTTGTATACTAAACATCGAATAATTTCTCTCTGACAGACAAGTGCTATGCATATGCATGGTCCAGCACTTCTACCTTGCTCCCTATCACGGCAGGAGGATTGGGATAATTCTCCTGTTTGCACCAGCTCAGGTAGGACATTGTTAGCAGCAGACCTTTCACTGCCACTGCTGCAATTTCTGGGTTCCAAACAGCTGACAGCTTTAAGCTATTGAAAAAAAAATGGAACATCTCTGAAAGTTTCACTTCAAAATTTAGCCAGCATAAAATCTGTTTTTCAGGGGCAAATTTTTGAGTGCTTAGAAGAAGATACTCCTGAACATACACAGTTTTTGAAGTTTACCTCTGATGACATCTTTGGGAAACACACTGATTACCCCACAGGAACAAGGGATGCATAAGGCCTACAAGCTCTTTACCAGGAAAAGTCATTTACATGGAAAAGTCATTCTGTGACAGCCAAGAGGTGAAATGAAACAAAAGAGACCCAGTTCAACACACATGGACTTTCTGAATGAAGGCAACTGAAAGGTCAAGAGAATAATCTGAGTGATCAGCAAGGTGGTGAGGCACACACCAAAAGTCAGCTTCAGGTGTGCTTCCAATCAGCTCCTTGTTTTGAGAAAACATAGTTTTCAACCTCATTTTTTGCACCTGCAAGTTGGTTATCTGGATTAGCCTGATAATTAACACGTGCCCTGAGAGTTTGCTCTCTTTTTTCTGAGGCTGTGTTGATGCTTGGCCTTGGTGCTCGGGCTTAGTGTCCTCCATGCTTTACTTATCCATTACAACATTGTATTCCCTTTTCCTTGGCTTCCAGAAATCTACTGACAAACTTGTAAGTTTTTTTCTTTTTGTTGGTTTTTCATTGTCTACCATTTTTTCTTCTAAAATGATGCCACTCATGTCTTGAATGTCAGTAAATGTCCTTTATGTAAACCTGCAAAAGCTCATCAAGATGTTTTGAACTCTGTTTAATGTCTATCTGTGAACTTTCTTTTCATTTCTAGGTTTAGTATTTTTTCCTCATCTTTTGTCTCAAATGCTTTTCTTTAGCTAGCACGATTTTTGATTTCTACTTTCAAACTTTATTCTCTCATATTTCAAAGTGCTCTAAACATTCTGATCCTCTATAAAAGTCCTTGCTTAGGTATGCTTTTTCAGAGACTCAGCTGCTCAGACCATGCTATTTCTAAAAGGCTTTTTATTGTGGTGGTTGCTACCCTGACAGATTGAATTCTTGACTTTTCCATTTGAATCTGGTAAGTAATCTAAAAATAGTTAGGTGGCCTTGGTGTCACTTGTGAGGTTGGGATTTCATTTCTTTCTTTATTTATGAAAAACCAAGAACATTATTGGTTTCTATAGTGAAGATGGAACTAATGCCATTGGGGCTAAACTGAGGTTCAGGAGGGACCATTGTTTTAAAAGCAATGAATTTAGGAGGCAAATGTAAACTTTCTTAGTGTGATGAAACATAATGCATTCCTTTGAAGTATGTTTCAAAAAATGAGAAGTTTTAATTAATCATGCTTTGAACTTAGTATATGACTTGACTTTTCATCTCTGAATTTGATTTGATTAGATGTCAAAATACTATTAATTATAATACTATTTAAATTTTTTTTAGAAATTCTTGTACATTGCCTTAAAGAAGATCATAACATAAATTTAAGAAATTGTAAAACCCTTCCTTCCATTTCTAAGCATTTACTCTTGGAACAAATCTTGCTGAAGTCCTTGGGAGTAAGGGACAATCTGGCCCACGATCTGAGAGAGTTGCTAATCTTATTCTCACCATAGCTGTGTCTTGCCTGGTATCCTGCCTCGCATCTGTCAGGCTCACTATGTAAATAAGTTATTCCTTGTCAATGTCTTGATGGTAGATTTAAATAAGTCTTAGAAGATTAGTGAGACGGTTTGCTCTGTAGAAACTCTGCTAATTTGACTCAGTGGCATCCTGAATATCCTGTCATTTTATTATTTTGATTTTAATTTTGCTTTTAATGACTATTTCAAAGTAATGCCTTGAACAACCAGTAGTGACCTTTCCAAATAAAGGTATGACTCTTTCTCCCTCCAGTCTTCTGTTGTTGTTTTCATGTAGTCTGAAATTTTAGTTTCCTCATAACTTGCATGGCTTGTGGGTCCAGTAATTTTTAAAACATTTCATATATTGGCAAATCAAAATTTTTCACAGCTGCTCCTCTTTATTAAAAAAACAAACAAATGCCTCTCCACCCCAAAAAAACCAACTCCCAAAAAAATCCCAAACCTTAAACAAAACAATGAAACCCAAGAAGCTTTGAGAGTTGTAATTCCCTGATGTTCTGAGAAAAGAAAACTGATGCAGGAAAATAATATAGCTCTCCAACAAAATGCCAGAGATTTTCTAATTGCTTTCTTTAGGTCCTTCTAATCTAATGCCATCACTGAGTGTTGTATGAGCTTTTTACTTCTGATGGACTCACTTTTTTCCCACCACCTCTCCTGATATGCAGAACAAGTCAGAACAACTGGCCTAACTGGAAATTAAAGAAAACAACAACAGCAAAAAAGCTTACAGAAAAAACTAGGGAGAGAAACTATAAAATAAAAAATAGAGGACCAATATAAGCACCAATCCAATATGAGCTTTACGGTGTTAAAGATTTTGGAGATCCTAGTGATTTAGTTGTTGTGTAAATGAACCTGAGATTTTTTTGTCGTTGTTGCTAATATAAATTTCTTTGGCTTGTAAAAGGTTCAACGAAGCCATGGCTGTTTCTCATTAGTGGTGGCTGTCACTAAAATGAATATGTTGCTGAGTGTTCAGTTTCTGGGAAACGTGGTTGAAACACGAGCAGCTCTCTCGATGCAGAGCTCAGAGTCAAATGTTTTCAGAGGGGATGTTCCCCATTAAGTAATGACAGAGAACCATACGGAACACATTACAAATCGAAATACTGATTGATGAAGTGCCTGTGGTCAGCTTTCTACAGAAATGAGAATTTTGAACGTATTATCACGTCAGCATGGAATTGATCTCATGTACAATCACATTTTGTTTTCATTTCTTTTTTGCTTTACAGTCTCACACGTGCTGTTCCAGATCACGTTTATAGCAAGCAGAACTTCAGACTAAAGGAAATAAAGCATCAAGTTTGAGCTCTGATGTTTCATTGATTTAGCCAAGTTCACAGAAGCCAAATATGTCTGAGTTTGTTCACACAGCTGGTGAGCTATAAAGTCTTTCTCCCTATAGCAAACTTCTCTCCTCCTTCCAAGAGCTGGGAGAAGGGACTCAGAGTTTGCTGGAGCATGTGGACATTGGGAGAGAGAAGTGGGGTCACCTGGTTAGGCAGAGTGGCTCTTGTGTGAGATTGCATTTCTCAGACTAAAAGCTCCTCTTTGTCTTCCCCAAAGTAGAAGCTTTCCTTCTTCCACTTAGCTCATTTGCAGGGGTTCGCTGAGGAAAATCCACTAGTTCATGCTGACTTTAGGGCAAGATTGCTTGATTTGTTTGCATTCAAGTTACTTATTAGTCTAGCTGTAAGTTCAGGTTTGTTTCAGATACAGTGACCTCTTCTGTTTTACACAGAAAGCAAACAGGGCAGAGTGTATGAAACCTGTGTACACAAATCGCAATGAATGTGTGTCTGAGTACAGCCCATTGAAAGAAAAATATATAGTCACATGGTAAATTTAGAAAATTGGGTCAAAGAATCTAGCCCTTTTTTTGGCTAAACAATTCTTAAATGGTGCTTCAGTAAAAGCCTGAGCTGGAATAGACTTAGACACATATTTAGCACAGTGTTATGAACACTTGAGTATTTCTGGTTCTGAGACCCCATCATGAGGTTATTAGAGTGCTAAGGCACATCAGATATGAGAGAGAGCCAGGTCTTGCTTGTGCCTTTGCTAATGGAAACTCACCCAAGTGAACAGAGTTGCTTGGTTTACATTTGCACAGTTGATGCCACAGCTTGGCCTAGGACATAAAAGTTTGAACATGAGGAGAAAATAACAATCAAATGTCTGCTAATGCCTAGAAATGTGAACAGTGGACTGCATCTAAAACTAAAAGCAAGGAGAGAGAAATATCAGGCATTCGTGTAAAGCACTTGGCTAAAATTTAGGGTCTATTTTTTCATAATTATTGACTTGAGACAATTGGACCTGATTATTCAGAATTATTAAGAATGCAGTATCCTTAGCCGAGTTCTCTGAAAATGAAATCTCTGAGGCTTACAGCAAAAATTAATTGTCCTAGCCCTCTTAAATACATGTGAGTGGTTGGTTTTTTTCTAAGAATTAGCCATGGTAAACTGTCTTTCAGGGATCTGATTTCTGCCCTTCAGACTTCTACAGATGTTCTTCAAAATGCAGAACAAATGTACCTTCCTGATAAGCAATTTGTTATTTTTCACTTTGTATTTATTCATGTCAGAAATGTGTATTGGTATGTAAGCAAACAACAGTATTTAAGTGCTTAATTATATCAAAGGATAAATAAATGTGGAGTAACATGAGGAAATATTTGCAAGCAGCTGTTCTGGGATATCAGATTTCAAGTTATCTGTAGCCCTCATAATTATTACAATGCTTTTGTGCTATTAAAAATATAATGCAGATATCATAGTGATAGTAATGATGAATGATTAGCTGAGATTCTACTACCTTTCAGATATTTAAGTCAGAAAAATTCTCAAAGTCTTTTTGACAGTGATGGTTAATCTTTGGCAACAGATACAGATTTTTGGTGGAGCTGAAGGGCTTCCTGGCAGGAGGGATATTGAGAGAGCTGCAACTGTTGTTCAGATTGCCTTCCCCATGTACAATTTTCTTACAATTTTCTTTCTTACAATTTTCTTACACAAAGACCCTGCAGTCTTCGTGGCTCTTCAGCCCAGCACTATGGGCTCTGCTCTCAGAAATGTTGCAATTGCATTTTTGGTGCTGTCCAGGAATTGCAAGTTTGAGCTTAGATAGGGCACAGATTCGGAAACACTCACTGAAGTTTACCTGGCACTCGGTTCAGATCTCATGAATCCTGCTGGTCTTGGAGGATCAAATATTCCAAAGTCCTCAGTGAGACTGCCTCCCCAGCCCAAGATGAGCAATAGTCACAGTTCTTATCTGAACAGGGGAGCATCTTGGCTGAGATGAGGGAAAGGTTGACGGTGTTTGCTCAGACCACGTGTGTATCTCGGGAGGACTGTCAGTCCCATAGTGCATGGTTTGGCCTGGCAGAGATGGTTGAGGCTTTGGTGCCAGAAGGACTAATTAGTGCTGGACTGGGTGCACCCATGCACATTTCTGGCAGTGTAACCAGTAGATAAGTTTTGTGACTTCTAGGCTTGCTGTGCTCTGACAGGAAGCAAGGGTGTGGCTCCTGGCTCCTAAAGCTGCTCCAAGCAGGGGCTGAGCAGGCTTGCCCTGCAAACCCCTGGCTGTGTGCCTGAGCTGCTCTCCTGAGCTGCTCACTGATGTGAGTGTGTGGTGAATAAACTCAGAGCTGCAGAGTGAGGTCAGTCAAACAGGTTATCTGCAGGCCTGGGCTGCCGTTTTTTCCTTCCAGCACTAGGCATCCTAAAACTGACAGACTACCTCAATAAACTTGAGGTTTTCCTATGGATCAGATAAAATTAGACGATTCCTCTTTCTCCTTCCACTGAAAGTTTCTAAGCTTCTCCTGGGACATAAATCAGAGAATTAGGATTCTAGATATTGAGTTAATCTGCTCCAGAATTTGTTTTCCTGTATACATGAAGATAACAGCATAGTTTTGTCTCAGATAAAAATATTGAGACAGCATTATGTGAATTGCTATAGCTGCAGTTACCATTTTCCACAAGAATGTATTATGGACAGAGAAGACTTGCCAAAATAATCATCACTAATAGAGATTTCTCTTTCCTTTTGTTACTGTTTCTTTTGAATGGTTGTGTTTGATTTTGTTCCTTTGAAGAGGATTGCTTTATTTTTTTAGCTTGCCAATTCTTATTCATTTCAGCAACCCTAAAAAAATATTTTCAAAATGGCCAAGTAACTAAAGACTTTCTCTCTTTCTCAGATGTGATCTGGAGCTTATATGTGGGCCTGGAAATGCTATTACCTGCCAAAACACTAGTGAAACTGGTGTGATACAGACATCTAAATCTTCTGAGACTCTTGGTCTCACATAGAAGATCTGGCACTAGTACAACCATTTAGGTTACTGGTATGTATTTTTATTGAAAAACATCCCAGTACAACAGCATTTATAGATATGAAGGCATCCCATGTTGTTTCTTCCCTGTACTGCTATTTCCTTTCTAGATTGAAATAGGTGATACTGCTCAGAGTACCAGTATAACTGCACCAATATTAAATGTTGTATTAACTATAGTTGACATCTTGTTGAAAGTTGTGACAGGCTCCTAAGTGCTAGTCTGTTCTGAAACTGAGATTTAAGGTCTAATTCCAAAAAACTTTGCTTTCTTTTTAGATTGGGGTTTTTGTCTCTTTGGCTCTCTTGGAAGGTTCTTCTGTGCTTATATTTATGCTGCCAAATCAGATTGGGATTCAGCCTTCGAGTAGGACTTTGGGTGTTATTATTTTTGTCTCATAAAAATGATAAGACAAGAATTAGGAACAATATGAATGAGGAATAAGGCTTGAAGTTTTTGAAGCAGATCTGTCTCTCACCAGAAACAAGTCCATGCTAAGGTTGCACTTCTTTATGAGACTTATTTTGAGCTTCCCTAGAATTTTTGAGGCAGTCATCTGAGATCTAAACAGCAAGGCTGCCTGAAAAGTAAACAAATCCTTTTAGATGTGGTGAGCAGATCAGATTGGATATGAGTTCCAAGAATGTACAAAATTAAATCTATTTAATTTAGCAACAGAAATGTTACTGCGCAGTGATAGCACACACGTGATTCACCTCCAGTGTTGCAACACCATCAACCAGAGAGACTGGACACAGAGATGACTCTTCTTGGCCTTGCTGGGAATACCAGTAAGAAGCCTAACCACTGTTATGCTGTTTTTCAACTCGTGTGTTAGTCATAGACAAAAAATTTACTCCCAACTAAGTCACCAAGTTAACTGAGTAGCACCAAACTGTTTCAGTTGTTGGATTTCCATGGCCACTCCAGGACTTGTCCTGTTAGAATATCACAGCTGGATGATCACATCTGGCCATCAGAGAGCAACTTGAGGTCTACTCTTTCAATAAAAAAACTGGTTTGGACCCGTGCTTCCTAGTCAGGATCATGTATTGATCTGCAGTTCAGTCCTATTAGGACACAAATCATTACTATTTTCCAGAGTGACATGTTTCCACCACATTTTGCTTTTCTGGAGTGATGTGGGACATTACTCTTACCCCTCAAAAAAAAAAAATCCTCAGGCCTCTTTTTTTTCTGATCATCTCACCTGTATGGGGCAAAATTATATTTGCTAGAAGAATCGGCAGATATTGCAAAACCAGTCAATCATGCATTGTATAGTTCTTCTTTTTATCCCTTTCATTTTTTTTTTCTGAATTGTCTGATTACTGAAAAGCATCAAGTACAAAAGGAAAAAAGCAAAAGCAAAGGTAGGACTTTTCATTTGCTTGGGGCCACCCAGCTCCCAAGAGATCTGAAACAAGAGGGCCCTTCTGAATCCCAGAGAAAGAGCATGTTTTTCTGTAAATGCTCTCACATTCTCTCTTGCTCTCACTTGCTTTAAAGCATACATCTGATACAAATTAATCTGCAGGGTTTTTAGTCATTTCCCATCCGCTGCTGGGGCAAATTAGACTTGCTGATGTTGTTTTGGCCTAACCCTGAAGCTGCATGAAAGGAATGGCCCAGAGGGAGAGCGAGCATGTTCTCCTTGGCTCTTCTTCCATGTACTCTCCAGTCTGTTCAACAAAAAAAAATAGTTCAATTGGCCTGAAAGGCACTGAAAACCCCTCTGTAGTACCTTAAAGAACCAAAATTACTTAATTAATGTGGAGACCATTATGTGAGGTTACCATATGAATGAGTAAGTGGACTGCCTGAGTTACAGAGCAGGAAAGAGGAAAGGATATCTGAGGTCAGACTTGTCAGGGTAAAGGAATCCTAAACAATGAGGGCATTGGTTTAAGATTTGAGGAAGAATTTGAAAAAGAGCCCTGAGAGTGAAATTAAATGAAGCATGGGAGCGTATTAGTGGAGATTAGCAGTGCAGTGAAGGAACCCAGAGCAGACTGCCAATGGCCCCTGAGCACAGGCAGCTTTAACTGGGCTGATGCAGACAGGAATTAGGCAGTGCTGGAGTCTGACTGAAAACTATTTTCCTGAGCAATGTTAAAGAGTTTCTCTTCCACACCCCCTTTCTTTCACTGACTTCTCAAAGTGAACATGCCCCTGTCTCAGCTGCATGTGTTTTTTGGTTTTTTTTTGCCAGGAAGACTTATGACAGAAGCAGATAAAGCAGAGTCAAGACTTGAAAAGCACTTGGGCTCTCTCAGTGTAAATGTGAGATTCACTTAGTAGCACAGGATTGTCATTGCAAATGTGCTGCTTCAGAGGAAAAGAGGACAAAGCCTTGTGAAACTAACAAAGTTAATGCTTGTGCTTGAAGTCTGGGAAACATATTTGCTTACACAGATGCTGGTTTAGTGAAAACTAGATTATTTTTCTGAAACATGACTGTTTACAGTGCTTTTCACAGCTCTTTGAGGCCATTTCAAGAGTTTTCTACTTGGAGTTTTTCATATTAGTTAGAGTTTTCAGAAATTATTATCTATGATAGAACAAGAATCCAATAATGAGGTGAAGGTGGCAATATTTTGTAAGGTGTTGACTGCATTATTTATTTTATTGGCTTTGGTTTCATTTGCTGCCATTCTGAAACAGTACTCACATATTCTGGAATAAAAATCCTGACTGCTGCATGTGAGTTCCTAGCACTTTTCCTATCAGCTACAAGCAGAATTCTTGCTAAAAGCAAGGGGAAAGTGAATAATCTTGCTGAAAATACTTTTATTGTGTGCTTTTACAGAAGACAATGGATCGTGAGTAACATTTGCAAAACCATCCAAAGAATCCCAAAGTAATACCTGTCAGAGCCTGTAGGAAGTCAGATTATATTTAGACCAGGTTTTTCAGATATAACCAATGCCCCCAGTTGACTGTATGGTTTGGGAGGACCTAAGAACTTTGGAGAACAGTAATTCAGTGCTTTGGTGTTAAATCCTGCTGTACCAATAGCTGGCTATATATCTGGAAGAAGTTCTTTCTTGTGGGGGTGGTGAGGCACTGGCACAG